GATGGAGGATTTCTTCTAACCTCACTGTAGATTATACGTAAAAAGGTGACTGGGTACTCATTCTGTTTGTTGCCTAACGCTCCTTCCTGTTGATTTTTTTTTCCATTATTTCTTTCATAGTATCTCATTCTTGTATATTCCAGTGGCATTTTTCAAATATTGTTCTCTTCCTTCCCCCGGTGTATTGGTTTTACCATCCCCACAGTTATTACTGTAGTAATACCCTGCAAGTAACTAGCTAGCATTGTGTTGGTACACAATTGAAATTCTGAAAATGTCATTCAAGATTTGCAAATAATCAATACAGAGAACAAATGGGCAGATGTTTAGTATTCTCAAGTTGAAAACTTCAGTACGCAAGCTGATTATGGAGGTATCTGAGCCATTAGAGCCATCATCTTTGAAAAGTCATGGCAGATGGGAGAGATTCCAGAAGAATGGAAAAGGGCAAAAATAGTGCCCATCTATGAAAAGGGAAATAAGGACAACCCAGGAAACCACAGATCGGTCAGCTTAAGTTCTGTGCCAGGAAAGCTCATGGAGCAAATAAATAAAGAATCCATCTGTAAACATATGAAAGATAATAATGTGATGATAAACAGCCAACATGGATTGTCAAGAACAAATATCAGACCAAAGTGATAGCTTTCTTTGATAGGGTAACAAGCCTTGTGGATAAGATGGAAGTGGTAGACATGGTATACCTAGACTTCAATACAATATTTAACAGTCTTGCACAACCTTCTTATCAATAAACTAGGAAAACACAAGGTAGATGAGATTACTACAAGGTGGGTGCATAACTGGGTGGATAACTGCTCTCAGAGAGAAGTTATCAATGGTTGTCATGATGGGAGGGTATAACAAGTGGGGTTCCACAGGGATCAGTTTTGGGGCCCGTTCTGTTAAATATCATCTTTAATGATTTAGATGATTATCTAGAGAATACACTTATAAAGTTTGCAGATAATACCAAGCTGGGAGGAGTTGCAAGTCCTCTGGAGGATAGGGTCAAAATTCAAAATAATCTGCACAAACTAGAGAAATGGGCTGAGGTAGACAGGATGAGGTTTAATAAGGACAAATGCAAAGTACTCCACTTAGGAAGGAACAATCAGTTTCACATGTATAGAATGGAAAGGAGGACTACAAAAAGGGATGTAGGGGTCAGTGGACCACAAGCTAAATACGAGTCAACAGTGTGACACTGTTGCAAAAGAAAGCAAACATGACTCAGGGATGCAGTAACAGAAGTGTTTTTATCAAGACACAAGAAGTAATTCTTCCCCTCTACTCTGCACTGATTAGGAGTATTGTGTCCATTCCTGGACACAATATTTCAGGAAAGATGTGGAGAAATTGGAGAATGTGGAGAAATTGGAGAAGGTGCAGAGAAGAGCAACACAAATATTTAAAGATCTAGAAAACATGACCTATGACGGAAGACTGAATGAAAGAATTGGGTTTGTTTAGTTTGGTAAAGAGAGGACTGAGAGAGGACATGATAGCAGCTTTCAAGTATCTAAAAGGATATTACAAGGAGGAAGGAGAAAAATTATTCTCCTTGGCCTTTGAGGGTAGGACAAGAAGCAATGGGCTTAAACTGCAGCAAGGGAGGTTTAGGTTGGACATTAGGAAAAACTTCCTAACTGTCAGGGTGGTTAAGCACTGGAATAAATTGCCCAGGGAGGTTGTGGAATTGCCATAATTGGAGATATTAAGAACAAGTTGGAACAGACATCTGTTAAGGATGATCTAGACCATGGATTCCCAAACTGGGGGGGCGTGAAGAAATTCCAGGGGTAGCGTGAGGCGACTCAGCCCCTTCCCCATCAAATTTTGTTGCCCTGCTCAGTTCCCTTCAAAATCCAATCCAAGGGTAAAATAGTCCCAGTTGGTATGCCTGCACTTTTGCAGAACTCCTCCAACAGAGTTAATTTTACTGCAATAGTGACAAGAAAAAGCTGCCAATGTTAACATCATTTTCTCAACACGTTTTGCTGCTATTTTGGGGATGGGCGGAGTGAGGGTTTTTCAAAAATCAAAAAAGGAGCGTGATGCTGAAAAGTTTGGGCACCGCTGATCTAGAGGGCGAGGTCTGCTCCCTTTAGGGACAGCCGGAGTGTAGGCAGGGCAGGCTTTGGGGCAGACAGGCTGAGGGTTTGTGCAGAAGAGAGGCCTGGGTGAAAAGCGAGGATGTGCCTGCAGCCGGAGGGGTGCAGCTCTCTCGATCGTTATTATAATTAATTTCCACATCGCAGCACCTGAGCATCCCAGTGCTGGACTAAGCTCTTTTCTGTTAGTGGCTGTAGGTGCAAATCTTCTTCCTCTTCCTCCACAGAGGAGTCCCTGTGGAATTTAACAGGGAGATGCGGCCTGTGAGCAGCCCTGCCCCCAGGCGCCCGGCAGCCCCAAAACGTTGGGGACCACTGATCTAGATGGTGCTTGGTCCTGCCATGGGGGCAGAGGACTGGACTTGGTTACCTCTCAGGGTTCCTTCCAGTTCTATGATACTATGAAAACAATAGCAGTGCAAATCTGCTGCTGCTTTTTTGCAATATGTTCTATTTCTTTCATGCCTGATAGGATTATAAGTACAGATTGAACCTCTAAAAATCTGGGACTCTCCAGTCTGGGAACATCTGTTATCTGGAAGGACCACAGATATTGCTGGACCAGAGCACCCCAGCTATCCAGGGTCAGGAGCTGGGCTGGTGTGGGTAGCATGGGGTCGGCTGGGGCTGGGGACAGGGAGCACAGCTTTGTCCGGGAGCACAGCCCCAATGGCAGCAGGGCCAGTACCACAGGAAGCACAGTCCTGCCCAACTGGAGGCAGTGGGGTCAGGGTAGCTCCCAGCAAAACCCTGGCTGGGACCAGCTTAGTTGGGAGCATAGCCCTGCCCAGGCCAGAGGCAGTGGGGCTGGCATCTAGGAGCGCAATCCGGAATGGAGCCCAGGAGTGCAGCTCAGGTCAGTGGCAAAGAGCACAGCCACAGCCAGAGTGAGTGCAGTGGGGAGCATATCCCCAGCTGTGGGAGGGAAGTGCAGCCCTGGCAGGGCTGGGGGCAGAGGGCCTGTGGTGGGGAGCAGGCCCAACAGCTGGGAGAGGAGGCTTGACCTCCCCTGGTCCAGCAAACTCTGTTGTTTGGGACTGCTCAGGTCCCCAGAGTGCCTGGACCAGGGAGGTCCCACCTATAGCACTTCTGTTGCCTTCCATGCTTAATTAAATTTGTTTTAAGATACTGGTTTGAAGCCAGAACTCATAGTTCCTTTGTGTTTTATACATTATATGTCCCCAGAGAATGATTGATAAACATAGTAATAGGATTCTTATGGCAAGGTTTCCTCTCACTCCTTCAATTCAAGTTCTGGGGTGCTAAACACAATCTACTAACCATGGTAGGATAAACTGTGTTTTGTAACAGGTAGTTCCTGTGCTTTTGAAGAAAATGGTACAATAAGTTTGAAACGTAAAAATTATTTAGAAATTGAAAATATCTCCAGCAAATATGGTGATGTAAACAAAACAAATATTTCTTTATTTTGAGTAATAAATTGTTCACTTGACAGGAACCCTGAACGTAGTATAGCCCATACATAAAATAAGCTCCTTGATGGGATGTTTGTTCCTTGTACGTATATTTAAATCATAAGTGACTTATTAACAATCAACTTTGCAGTGAAAATGACTCTAGAAATCTTTTATGGTAGACATTGTCTCTTATTACTTCGCATTTGGGGTTTAAGAAACTGTGGTCAAAATTTTCAAACATAAAATCCTTGTAACTAAGATTGATAAAGCTACATTGAAACCATCTGCTTGTGTTTTCAAAATTCTGAGCACCTGGCAGCTCCCACTGAGCTCACTAAAGACTCTTACTTAGTTAAACTTTCAACATTTTCAGATCTGATATTTTATTTTTCTGTTTTTAAATTAGGAATTGTAGAAACAGTTGGGCATGAAATACTGTAATGGAAATTGAGATTTGGAAAGGGTGGATAATATTGTGTTAAGAGTACTACATATGATGCCACACATACAATGTGATCTCCTGTTGTTGAGATTTCTTTAATACTGTGCTACAGATATCAATAAGAAAGGCCACAAGTCTTTGCTTGTGGTAGTAGGGGTATTTGTAGAATGACTCCTGTTACCTTGTTGCTTTTAGTTTTCAAAAAAGGAATGAGAAGCTAAGAACTGAATGAGACACTTAATTAAAACTAAATGTCAGATGAATTATGCAGGATTGTGTTCATAGAGTTAAGAAGAAAATTAAAATTAAATTTCTTAATCTCTTACTAGCTCACACGTTGGAAAATTAAAACACATTGGAAATTACAGTCTCGATCTGGAATTGCATCAAGCTTTCTTTAGACAAAGAAGATAACATACTTTTGTGCTTGTTGGCATAAATCATATCATCTTTGGAGAATCCTAGCAGAAATTATAATAGAATGCTTGGAGAATGAAATAACAAAATATAGTTGAATGAGAGAGGGCCATTTTCAGATTCCTTCTTTATGTACCTAACCCATTATCACTGCATGGGTGATCGTATGGAAAAGCTGTTAGCTGTAGTTAGATGTCCACAGTAGTCTTCATTGAAGCAACTATTTGTCAATCTAGGTAGCTCAGTGTGTTGTTTTTGCAAAACCAATACAGTGAAAAGGGAAATATTTGGTCACTATTTGTATACATAATATAATTAACAAAATATTGATAGATCTGAAAGCTTTTGGGAAGCTCTCTTAATGTGACAAGATTTTTAAAACTAGACAGTATTGTTCATGTTACTAGGAAAGAACACCCATGTAAGATGATTCTATTTATAGACATTTATATTCAGCAGTAACTGCAAGTGTGAAACCCAGTACCCATGGCTGCCACAAAATCATTCAGAGCTTTCTGTGTGGAGGTGAAATGTCAGAACATACTTGGTAGAGTGTTATAACTCTGCTATACTATGCATTATTCATTTTCTTTTTCTCCTCCCCTGCAGGCAGCAGCACGTGTCCAAAGAGCCTCGTAACTAAGTCTTGCTCAGCAAATAGCACAACCAGACTAGTCCAGCAGAAGAACGTATGCAATGAAGCAGCTCAGGGAATAAATGGAAACGTGCCAGTTAAGCAGTCCCCACGTTCAGCTTCAAGTCCAAAGCCACAAGGTAAGCCTGATACAAATTCTCTGTTCTGCAGCTAATTGTCCAATTTGTTGAAGGAAAAGCTCAATCTCTGTGTTCCCCTTCTGATCCAGTGAAGATACCAGCATAAAAGAGCAAACATGAAATTGTGCATATTACTTTGACCATGTGGTTTTTGCAAAGCAGTATTTTACTAGAAAATGGCTGTCAGAGAGAAGGTTTGTACTGCTGCAAATGAAGAAATATAGATAAACACAAGTATTCCATCTGACCCCATGGGCCTACTGGCTTCCTTATGCGGATATGCAAATAGTGTTTTAGTTTCTTGTCTGGCCCAAAGAGCGATTGGTAGGTTGAGATAAGAGTGTATTCTTTCAAACTATGACCCTTGTTTCTATTATACCAGAAGTATCACTCTGTAATGCCTTGCATAGGTCACCCAGAGCTGAGACCCCACTGTGTGTTACTATTCTGATTCAGTCGGGGTAAGCTCTGCTGCTGCTAAACTGCAAGTCGGTTTCCTGAGCTACCAGTGTGTCTGCTTTGTCAGCAAACTCCTTGAGATTGGGTCAGACTTCTGCTGTGCAGGTAACAATGAGTGCACTTCAGTTCCTGAGTTCTCAGTGCATCCTCCCTTCTGCAGTGTAGAGTCTCTTTTGCTGCCCCCTTTCAGGAGTTATTGAGTTCCCTGCCTCCAGAGAGACAGAAAACATGCCAGCCTCTTACCGTATTTTAGCGAATATAATACGCGGGTTATATTTGTTTTTACAAACCTTGTACCCCCGCGGGGTATACTCGGGTGCGGGGTATACGTTGTTTTTTTTTACTCACCTGTTGGTGAGTGCTCCCCCGCCTGTTCCCCTGCTGCACAGCCTCCAGGTGGGGGAGCGCTCATCCCCCGGTTCCTGCGCAGGAGCACTCCCCCTGCCCCTTCCTGCGACTGCGCCCCCCCCCAGCCTGTAGGCAGGAGAGCACTCACCCCCCTGGTTCCTGCCCAGCCACAGGAAGGGGCAGGGGAGCGCTCATCCCCCGGTTCCTGCGCAGTCGCAGGAAGGGGCAGGGGGAGTGCTCCTGCGCAGGAACCGGGGGATGAGCGCTCCCCCACCTGGAGGCTGGCATCTGCGCAGCCGCAGAAGGGGCAGGGGAGCACTCTCATTCCCCCGCCTGGAGGTTGTGCGGCCACGCGGGACCCAGGGGAGGTGAGTGCTCCTCCATCCGGAGGGTGGTTAATCCCTCTCTCTCCTCCCCCACCCCGGACCCATAGAAGCCTCTCCTTTCCCCCCCTTCCCCCCCGCACAGTTTGAAAAAAAGTCTTGTATGCCCTGCGGGTTATACTTTTGCGTGGGGTATACAAGATTTTTTTACTCCAACTGCAAAAACTGCAGGGTATATTCGGGTGCGGGGTATATTCGCTAAAAGACAGAAGTTGGACTGAGAGTTTTATCCTTCATTTTGATACTCAATACTGAGACTGTCTCATAAAGAAGAAGAAGTTAATTAACATAAAGCAGGTATTTAAGTGATAACAAGTAAGACAAGACACACATGTGGTTAAAGTAAAACAGAATGTGCTTTCTAGTGACTAAAATATAACTTCCGCAAATTATAATCTGTGTTTCTAGCAGGTTTTTCACTGCATTAGTTCCCAGAGATGTGGGCCCCCATACCTGAAAGATCATCTTTCTCAGATCACAAGAGCTCTGGCCCCATGTGCCTATCTACTGATGGATCGATCACAAAATAGTGTCTTGCTTTTGTATTGTCTTTCCAAAGTTCATTAACCCTGTTTCAATAGGTAGGCAGGCTTCCTGGGAATGCAGCCTCCATTCCCCTTCGAAATTATTTGGTCACCTTCCTGCACTTGCTCACCTTTGTTCAACTTACAAATTCAGGTTGAGCTTCTGTAATTTGGACTTTCCTGGTCTGGCATTGTCGATGAGCCTGTGGGTGCTGCGGGACAGCAGCACTCGCACAGAAAAACTGGCTGGCTGGGGCCAGAAGTATTGCTGACGTAGGGAAGAACGGAGCCTAAGGGGCAAAAGCAGCAGCCTGGAACAGAGGGGGTGATATTGATTTTCCCTGTTTCGAAACTGGCTGGGTTCCAAGAGTTCTGGACCAGGGATGTTCAGCCTGTAAAATGTCTGTCATTGTTCTTGGTCTCATCTTGTGTAACTTTCACTGGAGGCAGTCAAGATAGCAAAACAATGGATTTAGGTACAGCATGTTACCAGTTTGCATGATACCTTATGCAATACCTTTTGGCTACAGATTGTGGCAACGGTGAATTGGAGCAATGGGTGTGTCAGGCCTGCTGAGCTATGGTTTGATGCCATTTCGCATTGCAAAGCTCCCTGAGTGTGTTGCTAGTTTGTGAAAGGAGTCCTGCATCCCTAAGCTGGAAGGCTTTGATCCTATATTTGCGCTAGATCAGGGTGGGGAACCCCAGGGCCGGATCCAGCCCCTGGCTTGCCTGGAACCAGCTCCCGAGGCTCAGGGCTTCCCCTGCCACTCCACTGCGGAGCTGGGGTACATAAGCACACTAGTGTGTCTGACTCTCCCCCCTCTCTCCCCGGAATGGATTTTTCTGTGGGTCAGTGGGTCCTGACCCAAAAAAGATTCCTTGCCCCTAAACAAGATGGTGAGGTAGACAGCTCAAGTGAGTAGGAGAAGTTAGGGGGGAATTTCAGATTCTAGCAGAAATGGGGGACCTGTTTATAGTGAGGTGGTTTGGAGAGAGAGAGAAACTTTATATTGAAGGTTTTAGTCTTTATTTTTTGTTATGCAAATGTGCATGTTGAATGGAGGAAGTATATTTTACTTACTCTTACCAATCACGTGTTCTCCTTGATTTGCCTTCTAAAAATAGCTAAACGGTAACAAGAAAACATATTACAAATGCATGAGAAGCAAGAGGAAGACCTAAGAACAGGGGTGGGCCCATTAGTTAATAAGGAGAGGAAGACGGTGACAGAAAACGCAGCAATGGGTAAATTGTCCTTTCTGTTTCAGTTTTTACCAGAAAAATTAGTGATCTGGTAATTAATATAGTGAACATCAGTGTAAATGGGGTAGGCTCTGAGGCTAAAATGAGAGAGCAAGTTAAGAATTACTTAAACAAGTTAAGTATCAGAGGGGTAGCCGTGTTAGTCTGAATCTGCAAAAGCGACGAGGAGTCCTGTGGCACCTTATAGACTAACTGAAGTGTAGGAGCATAAGCTTTCGTGGGCAAAGACCCACTTCGTCAGATGCATCTGACGAAGTGGGTCTTTGCCCACGAAAGCTTATGCTCCTACACTTCAGTTAGTCTATAAGGTGCCACAGGACTCCTCGTCGCTTAAACAAGTTAGAGATCAGCAGGGCCTGACCAAATACAGAAGGAACTGTCTGAAGAGAAATCCGAGCCATTGTCTCAGAACTCCATGGAGGACAGGAGAGACTCTAGATGACCGGAAAAGGACAAATATAGTACCTATCTCAGAAAGGGGGAATAAGGACAGCCCAGAGAATTATAGCTCAGTCAAAAAGGTACTGAAGCCAACCCACTGCCCGTGCGGCTTTGCTCCTTTGCCCCGGAGCAAAGCCGCACAGGCAGCGGGGTCCCCCGCCTCTGCGGTTTTGCTCCTGTCTCCCTACTCGCCTGCCTCCGGGACAAAGGAGCAAAGCCGCACGGGCAGCGGAGTCCCGCCGCCTGTGCGGCTGTGCTCAGGTCTCCCTGCTGTGCTGGGGAGTCCCCCCCAGCACACCAGGGAGACCCGGAGCAGCTTTTCTCACCCCAGAGGACGCAGTGGCGGGACCGCTGCGCTCTGGGTGGTCCCGCCGCCCGCAAGCTCCGGGGCGAGAAAAGCCCCGTTCGTAAGTGCGGATCCGACATAAGTCTGATCCGACATAAGACTGACTGCCTGTATATGTTACCATGGCAGACAAAAATCTCAGCGCTAGGAATGAAGTTGTGGGATGTGGAACTTTTCACCTTGAGGTCACTGATTTAACATTTAGCTGAGGCTGCTAGTGACCAAAAGTCATTGAAATCTAAAAATGTTGTCCTTCTAAAAAAAATTTTTGTCTTTTAAGACTGCATTTTTTCTCATGCTTAGTGACCTTCAGCTCAGGCCACGTTTTCACTTCCGAGAAGATAGCACTGCGGTGGTTGATCTTCTGGAGTATGATTTAGCAGGTCTAGTAAAAATCCACTATACTGAATGCTGAGGGTACCCCTGTCAATGCTGATACTCCTCTCTTCAGCTGTGGAGAAGGCTCTAAAGGTAGAGTTAAGGTACATTGACTCCAGTTATGCAGTTAACCTATCTGGAGTTGCTTGTAAACAAGGCCTCATACAGTGAACCCTCGTTTATCGCGGTAGATAGGTTCCAAACCCGACCGCGATAGCTGAAAATCCGCGAAGTAGGGACACCATATTTACGTATTTGGGGTCTTCATATATCGCGGCTATTTTCGAAATTTCCGGAAAATCCGCGATATATTTTCTTTTATAATAGAACTGTACTGTAATGAAAAAAGTCCGAAGTCGTGAATCCGCGATGGTCGAACCGCGAAGTAGCGAGGGCTCACTGTACTCCACAGAAAGTATGGACACTGATCCTGTCTTCCTAAGAGAATTCCTCTACAGGTTAGTTTGAGGTACATTGCTGGTATGGTGGAAACTAGCATTGTCGTTGCCTATACTGTGTATAAATGAGGCATTTACTGTCTAGAGGTGTCACTCTGGCACCTTTTGTAAATATTACTTCATCTTGCATTTAAGGGATGGAAAAAGGCAGTGGGTGTAGAGGGTAAGTATTGGACTATTCCAGAAACATAAGCAAATTAAAGCTGATCTATCTGTACATAAAACCCATGGTAAAATAATCTTGTTTATAGTGAAGGTCATGTATAAACATTGCTCAGCTTGGTAGCCTTTATGTGTTGCCTGAATGTCCTGTTGTAATTTAATCCAAGCTAAACGGAAAAATAAGTTTTAATCCATAAGAACTAAAACACTTAAAAGGTTAATAGATGAAGAGAAG